TCTCCTCAGGGTGGAGGTAGGAGCTCATCCAACTCCATCTGCGGCCGTGGACAGTTAGGAGGAACTGGGGGCTGGACCACGCGATGCAGAAAAGGCGCGAATGGCACGAGACGGCTTCTGCACATGCACGGTCCGCCAGGGGCTACTGTTACAGAAAAATGTCTGTGCTGCGGTGCCGAGATGAGCCCAACACCTTTGGTGGAGCACCCACTGGGACACTACTCGAAGAAGAATCTGAGGCTATGTCTAGACTGCCAAATTTAGGAAAAGCCTCTTTTGGAAAAAAAGTGGAAAAAGATATGCAAATTGCAGCTTGCAATTTGCATATCTTTTTCCGACTTTTCTCTGCAGCGTAGACATAGCCATAGTGGAACTCTGCCCCACCAGTGCTATAAAGATTTCTGCCACAGAGTGGAAGATTCTATACAAAGTCAACTGAGCACATGTATTTCATAGAGCCGTTGGACTAAAATCTTTAGATGGGGAAACATCTGCTACATCCTTTACTTTATCCCATGCCCAGCCCTGCCAACATGCATTTACATGCTTAACCCTACTATTGTGAATAATCTCATTGAAAACAAAGAGACTACTCATGATAACAAGCTAAGCACATGCATAAATGCTTGAAGAATGAGTGACTACAGCCTGGCTGTGGTATTATTTAGGGCTCAGAATTCTGTCCTTTAGCTCACGATGTTTTTGTGTGGCCAAAATCATATGTTATGTAAATTTTGCTCCATTTTCCAAGTTTTGGGCCTTATTATTTGTCCTATAGTAACACTGTTCAGCATTAACGTATGTTAGGTAATGCACCAAATCAATTCAACTTTCTTTAAAAAGAAGATGAATGCAAATTAAAAGATACATGAAATCTAGCCCCTTTACCTGATGTTCAGAACTATTCAGAATAACTCTCTACTCTGCTTGGTCTGTGCCTAGCAAGAAAGACCTGTCTGTTGTTATAACCATTCTTAATTTGTAATACACTTGTACCTATAGAATAGACTCCAACCAGACAATGTATAAACTTGAGGGAAACAGACAGTACCTATCCCAAAGAACTTACAGTTTAGGTTAATGACAAGATGCAACTGCTGGCTGAGACAAATGTGAGCGATTGGGAAAGGAAGATGCAAGACTGATCCTGGTGGGTTTTTCTCTGTCCTCTGTAGCATAGGACACAGGTCACTTGCTGGTTTAAACTAGTGTAAAATACTGGATTCTGTAACTTGAAATGTTTAAATGATGATTTAAAGGCATCAATAATTCAGCCAGTGTTCAGGGATCTATTATAGGAATGGATGGGTGAGGTTCTATGGCCTGTACACTAGATGATCTGTTGGCAGTGTTCTGTAGGCTGCTCAGGAAAAGTGAGTCTAAAGGCAAGAGCTGAAGAAGGATAAGATGGTGGAAGTGGTGCTATGCATAAGTGATTAAGTGGATGGACGCTCGTTGACAAAGTGCAGTAATAAGCGGTAAACCCTGACAATGTTGGAAGAGAAAAGGTGGCAGTCAATGGCGTGAGAAACTAGTAGACCTGATGGATAGAGCACGCAAAGGTTGTGAAAAACTTTAGGATTAAGGACAAGGCACAGTGACGATACTACATGATTAGGTAGGGAAGGAGGAACCATTGGAAGGACTCAGTTATGGAGGTGTCATGCTCCAAGTGGCAAGCTAAGAAGATAACTGGCCAGCTGTGTTTTGAATGGCACTGAAGGAGAGGACAAGGCACTTGTTATGATTGAAATGATGAGATTTTTGAACATCTGTATAGAAAGGAAAGATAGGATCTAGGAGAGATTATTACAAAAAAAGTGTTAAGATTTGGATGTGGCTCCATGTGAAGTTTCATAGAAATGGCTGCATCGAAAACTGACACCCATGATAAAAGTCTGAAAGATAGACTTTGCAAGGTTTGCTAAGTGCCTAGTCATAAAGGCACTCTGATGGCTCCGGATGCTGCTGACTAGGCTGTTGAAAGTCTGATTGGTGGTACAGCCTGGGCCTAAGGTTGGCTGTCTACCTGCCTTGGCTTGCATGACTCCCAGAAGCAGCCATCAGGTCCCTGCAGCCCTCAGCCACGTGGGCGGCCAGGGGGGCTTTGCATGCAGCACCCATACTGAGTGCTGACTCTTCAGCTCCCGTTGGTTGGGATTTGTGACCAGTAGGAGCTGCAAGAGTGGCACTTGTGGGCTCGAGAGCAGCATGCAGAGCCTCCCTGGATGCCCAGGCACCTTGGGGGCCACAGGGACCTGGCGCTGCCTCTGAGCACCCTCCCACACCTTATCCCCCTTCCCAACCTGTAGTCCCCTCCCACCCCCTTCCTCACAGAGCCCACACCCTCCAACCACCTGTCTCAACGCGGAGCCCTCTTCTTCACCCAAACACTCTACTGGAACATGCCCTCCTCACAGCCCAACCGCCTGTCCCACTCCTGAGCCCACACACTCAACCAGAGCTCTCATCCTCCCACAGCCTTTGTCTCAGATCTGAGCTCCCTCCTAAATCCCATATCCCTCATCCTTAGTCCCATCTCTGACCACACACCCTTAGTTGGAGCCCTCATCCCACTCCTGCACCCCGACCTCTTGCCCCAGCCTGGTGAAAATGAGAGTGGGGGAGAGTGGGTTATGGAGGAAGGAGGGATGGTGTGAACAGGAGGTGGGGGTCTCTGAAAAGTGGATGGGCCGGGCAGAAGTGTTCAGTTTCATGTTATTAGAGAGTTGGCATCTCTGTGTCTTGCATAGGAATATGAGTCATCAATACCCTAGTGAAGAGCCAGTGATTCACCATAACCAATTAATATGTTTATATTGTAGTTAAGACAGGGACGGACAATAATTTTTAAGGGGTGGGATCTTGGGCAGAAGGGGCAGGACTAGGAGACTACTCATGTCCCCCCCCAAAACCCTGATTGGCCTGGGGGTGGGGAAGCGCATGAAGACTTTGCCCCCCACCCCGGTGCCTACAGAGAATTGCCAGCTGTTTTAAAACAGTGGGTGGCTCTCTAGGTGCCACAGCAGGAGGAGACCATATGTGGCCCCACCGCCTCCAGGCCAACCAGGGCCTGTGGGTGGGGGGGAGCACGTGAAGTCCCTTGCCCTACCCCACCTTGCCAGGGGCGTGCGAAGGCTAGAGAGAGCCACTGGCTGTTTAAAATCCTCTGGTGTTTCTCTCTAGCTGCCGCACGCTCTTGCCGGGGAGAGGGAATTTTTCGTGCTCCCCCGTCTCCAGGCCTCGATTGGCCTGGGGGCTAGGGAGTGGCAGGGTGGCTGCGGGCTGGATCCATTGGCTTGACGGTCCGGATCTGGCCCCTCTGCCCACCCCTCAGTTAAGCCATGTCTACACTCATGACAAAACTGTGTTAAAACATGATAGCTAACACGTTTTATGACCATGACCTGTTTTCCTAGTTGAGACATAGCCTGAGAGGATAGTGGTGTTTAAACAGTGGTGACTGAGAATGGGGGAAAGGGAAGGACTGATACAGAAAGTGCTATATAATGCACACACAGTTAGGCAGGGAGTTATTCTTACCACATAGTTCTTCTGTACAGTGTAGAAAGCAAAACGTTAAGAAATCTATGTTTTGGACCGTCACATTCTGCCTGGCTATGAATAGCCTTACTCACATAAGTGGAAATGAAAGAGACTTCTCCTATGGATAGGCTCCCAGCTTTCAGGATAATTTATTTTTATGTGTTTAACTGGTTTAATTATATGCAGCCTTATTTATCTGGATTATCTTTTTGCCTAATATAATTGTATGTGAAGTAAAATTATTTTCAAGTAAGATTCTCTCGATTTCTCTAGATGCTCATTGCCTTAGTAAAGGTATACAAGGTACTGATTAATGAAGAGGTCTATATCTAACTACTGACAAGAATAAATTCAGCTTTGAACTTGTTCTCTTCAGAATGAATGGTTACAGACAACTTGGAAAGCTAACACCCTAAAACCTAAATATATTCAGAATAAATATGCTGATTTCAACAAACTGGAGTCATGATTATAAACCTTGGATTATTTACAGGTCTATCTTTTTAGCATTTAATTACAGTGCATGATCATATTACTGAAGACAGTGAAACATATTCTCCTGTCTTTAGACAAAGAGCTTTATATGTGGGAGATTGGATTTTTTTCTTGCCTTGTTGCCCTATTGCTTTGTAGAGACAGTGCCATAATTTATTCGGATTTACTCTAATATTCACTGCCTTTGCATGTTATATTGTGCTGGCTATTGCTAAGCATTATTGAGCAATTTAATGCTGATATACTACATGCTTCTAAATGTTACAAGTACTGAGTAATTTGCTACGTGCTTTGGAAGGCAGACACACCTTTGAAATTCATTTTTGTTATTGCAAAATCAGAGATGACTGAGCTAACTAATATCTGAAAGGATTTTTTCCTTTTTTTCTTTTCTGGTACAGAGTTAGTATTTCCTTTTAGTTATATCTATGATTTATCAGTTTTTTTTGATGGAGAGGCTATAGGTGTAGTTTCAGCTTAGTGAGTTATCTAGTCAGTACACTCATAAATACAAGTTAATGGAAGCATTCAGGAAATAATGACGTAGGCCTTGTGAGAAGAAAAATAACGTTATCTACCTCTAAGTGGGACGTTTCCCTCTCTTTATTCATTTAGCTGTTCCAGTAATGATTTTGACTAAGGCAAACTTCACACTATGGGAAAAATTGGATTGCTTTCAAGAACATCTCTGTCTACAGTGAGCCAAATTCAACTCTCAGGAGTGTGGAAGACCTCATCCATATTTGGGGCGGCAAACAACACTGTTCCCCCCAGAAGCGGCAAACAACACGTTTCCCCCCAGAACCACAGCAGTTCCCAGCACTGCATAAACTTAGGCCTACTCGGGGGTAACAAAACAACCTTCCCGGAACCGCTTTGCGTCTGACCTTGTTGCAGATTCAAGAAGTTTGGATGGTGTGAGCCCAGAGAGGCAGATGACCCCCCAGGCAGTCCTCTTCCACACCCCAGTAGAGATTTCAAAAGGTCTCTTACCTCTCGTTTGGCACCCTGGGGGCGAAGGGGGATGGTCTGCAGCCGCTGTCACTGTCTTCAATTGGGCGTTGCCATCCGAGTCACGGCACCAAACTGTGGAAGAAAACATTGTCCTCACTCTGAGTTTGTAAGCAACAAGTAGCCAGAGGCAGTTTTATTACGAGCTGCAGCAAGGGAAAAACTGGTTCGGACAGGAGGGGGAAGCCCTCCCGCCCCCGAGGCAGATCTTCGAATACAAGCAATTATGAAGCAGTTTATATACTGTCTATTAAATATAATAACAATAACAATTAGTCTCCTTCCCATTACAAACACCAATGGCTAACAGTTATTTAGTTCCACCCAGATGCTCCTTATCTCAAGGTCCCTACCAGAGTCAGCATTCTATCCTTATCTCCGTATGGAGGCGAGAGGCGAAGGCAGCGTCTAATTACAGATCTCGCGTTGTCAGGCCACAGACTTAGCCTGACTCTTGCTCTCTTGTTAACAAGACCAAGATGGCTGCACACAAATTCTCTTATTCCCTTTTCCTGCCTCCACAACAGCAATACTGACATTGAAATGCTGAGGGAGATTAGAGAGGCTAAGTCAGTGGAGTTGCACCAGTGCGACTGGGAGTAGAGTCTGACTAGTGTTTATTAATAACAACAGAGGTTTGCACTTACATAGCTTTTTCGTCTCTAAGTATGTTAGCTCATAATTGCAATAATTTTGCAAAAAACTCTATTTATATGCTCAGTTATCATAACTGCCTTTGACATACTGATAATGTACAAAATAACAGCCCGGTTGTCAGATTTGGCTGGACAATCCTTAGTATAGAGTTGGCAAAGAGGCAAAGAATATGCCGTCCTCAGACTGACCAGAGGCTGAGTTGGTTCCTGGCACAACTTACAGCAGCAATAGAGCTGTTCTAAAGAGCCATCAGCAAATCACAGCCTCATAAGGCTATTTCCGCAGTCTTGGGTAGCTGAAATACAGCTGCGCTCTGGCGATGCCCCCCATTTCCTGGCCATACCCATTATGTCCAGAGAATCCCCAATCAGCTGATTAAACTGGTTTTCTGTCTACAGTACTTTGTACTTCTGAGGAGACACAAATGGAATAAGAGCCAGGATCTGGGACAATTCTGAAAATCATTCCCTAAAATTTGAATTATTTTACATTTTTCTGGTATGAATATCGTTTTGGATGTGGGTTAAATTTGTAAGGCTGTTTTAATGCTCCTGTGAATGATGGATTCATAGTATAGGATTAAAGCCAAGTGCATGCAGGCAAGACTGTGCAAAATTCTGCATCCCAACTCTAATGATCAGTACATAAAAATACAAAATCTTACTGTTCCAGTATGGAGTCTTTCTTGTGCAAGAAATACTGACAGTTGGGCTGCATTGTTTAAAACTGTCAGTGTGATTTTTGTCTTTTGAAGGCCTTGACTAATAAGCAAAAGTATCCTGAGTTTACTTAAGTAATTTTTAAGATATATTGCTCTCTCTGTACCGGGTTTCAGCTGTGAGAGGTGTAGGCATTTGCTAATTTTTAAAAAGCAGTTTACGGTAGCAGATGTAGGAAAATAGGCATATGGTTTATTCTTGTTCAGAAACAAAGTGTAACATGCATGCAAAAGATTTCCTGCTAAGAGAAAATATTACAGATTTTGACAGAGTTAAAAAGAATGTTTTCTCAGCATGAATTGTTTTTTTTTTAAAGAGTAGATACTATTACGTTTTGATGCCCAAAATGATTGAACTAAATTATATTCTTAAACTAGTGTCACTGACCTCATTGAGAGAGATTCTCTGTGTTGATTACCTCCTGTATGCTCAGTATATTGGATTAATCACAGAGGTCACTAATTGTGGTTCTCATGCTTCCAAAAAAAGAATGGAAGGCTTAAGATTAAATCTGAAGCAGCTGAATGACATCTGGCAGCTAATTGGTTTTCTAGTGAAGATTTTCCTAGACTTTAACAGCTAGCCAAGGTTAAAAAGAATATATTGGATAGGCCAGTGGAGTATTCAGATTTTAATCTCTTGTGGTGAGGAATGATTCAGTAGTTTTTATTAAGTTTCTGTATACAGTGCTCAAAGTATCTGAAAGTGTGACTGCATACCTCTTTTGGTGGCATGTAGCATACATAGGTGGTTATCCCACCCCCCATCATCGTGGGTATAAATACCAGCATAGCCAGGGAGGCATGCCTTAGGCAAATAGGGCAAAGACACACCTAAAGGTTGTGGGTATGTACACAAGTACATATCCTGCTACATCTCTTCTACTTGTTCAAGTCATGCATCCCCCGTTACTCTGGTATTTTTAGTACTACAGCATCCTGGGGAAAGGTGCTGGCAGGGAGGTTCCCTAAACAGCTTGGCCCTTGCCAGAACCTTTCTTCCCCACAGTGAAAGGCTCCTGCAGTGGAAAGTGGCTAACGCCTTTCCCTGGCGCCAGAGTCTTTCAGGGTGTGTCTAGACTACAGTGGTTTTTCAAAAAAACTTTTTTCGAAAAAACTTCCCCTGCGTCTAGACTGCTGCCACGTTCTTTTGAAATTAAATCGAAAGAACGCGGCGGTTTTTTCAACCTCAGTAAACCTCATTTTATGAGGAAGAATGCCTTTTTTCGAAAGTGCTTTTTCAAAAAAAGGCATTCTTGAATGCAAACAGGGCTTTTTCGAAAGAGAGCATCCAGACTACCTGCGTGCTCTCTTTCAAGAAAGTGGCTTGCTTTCTCGAAAGAAGTGGGTGCAGTCTAGAGGCTCTCTTTCAAAAAAGGCTTTTTCGAAAGATTCTTTTGAAAAAGCCTCTTTCGAAAGAGGCTGTAGTCTAGATGTAACCTCAGTGACACATGTAGCTACATTATACAGTGTAGATACAATCTGCATTTCACTGTACACTATCACTGCCAGTAGTGTGTAGTGTTGATGTTGCCTAAAGATATGGTTACACTGCAGTTAGATACCTACTGCTGGACCATGCCAGCTCAGTCTTGTGGAGCTTGGGTTAAGGATGTGGGGAGCCAGGCCCGAATTATCTTTTTCTGGGCCTGCTGCCATATTTGTGGGCCCCCACTGGGGCACTGGAGCATGGAATGGAAGGTCAGTTCCTGGAGCAACGGGCCAGCCAGTGGCATGGCAAGATTGGCCTTGCTCCAGCCAGCCCAGTCCAAGGGCACTATCAGACACTTAATGATGTGGCCGGCCTTGTGCTGTCAGTATGCCCCTTCCCCTTGGGGGTGCCCATGCTGCACCATT